AAGGTGGTCCTACGATTACCTCACTGTCTGTTACGGGTTTGGAAAGAAAACTCAGCCCCCCGTCTATATTAAGACAAAGACGGGTGGGTCCGTGAGAGACGGCAGTGCAGTTCATCGAACGGACTCGCTCACACAGATTACATTTGTTTTTCTTTTCTTTTTTTTTTATCATGACATTGTACTAAATACAAATGTAAAAAAAAAAAAAAAAAAAAAGAAACGTCAATGAAAATTCTACTGAAGTCAATGTTGCGTATCCTGTGATGGAAAGGTTACCTAGTTCAACGCCAACTCCATAGTGCACGTAAAACTTTTAGCTGCATCTGAAGCGGTCGACTATTGCGTTCACTTTCGCAATTTTTCCCTATGGTCGAGCAGTAAAAACAGCAAAGAACGCAGAAGTTCCTCGGCCTCTTAAGCTATTCCCAAATGCATATTAAAAAAAAATAAATTTTAACCGGACTTTAAATGGACTAATCTTAGACCTTATCTTAACTGCATTTTTTTTTGCCTTAATTGATTTTATAATGATGTCAACCATGATACAGGACTCCTATCCCCCCACCCAAAAATAGAACGTAAATTCAATTTGCTTTTTAACCCTTTCATGCATGACGGTCACTACAGTGGACAGCTATTAAAAATGTGGATTCTCAGGCGTCCACTCTCGAGGCTTATATGCAACACTGCCATCCAAACCTATTCTTATCACAGAAAATGACATTTTAATAGCTGTCCACTGTAGTGACCGTCATGCATGTTATAAAGAATGACGTGAAAGCAGATGTTTCCGCTGCTGTCGGACCACGGCGTCTTGTTTACCATGGGGGTCTCCTGCATTCATAGGTTGAGCCATTAATAACGATGGGAGGTTCCTCGCTGTCAGCATTTGTGCACCCTGCCAGGCTTTATTGCCTGTGTCTCCCAGGCTACATGCCCGTCGCATGTCATGCAGCCGCTGTTAAGTAGACACGCACACACGGCGCCAAAGAAATGTATGGAGGGGGCGGGGCCGCGCATGTGTGTGAGAGGATTCCGCCGTGTTATTAAATAATCCAATCGGACTGCGCCCACAGAGACGAGACTGGAAACCCCTCTGCTGATTTCTGAAAAATGATAGAGGTGACAGTGGAGATAGGGTCCTGCCTCCCGAATTAGTTTTGCTCTGACGCGTACACCGGGAGTCACATGTCAATTCCTCAGCTTGTTTGTTATCGTTTGTTTCCTTGGATACAGCCCGGGGGCCTGACACCTTGGCTTGACCCAGACGGCCATTCGATGAGCGCTATATGCTAACAAACCAGCGGCAGGCGGCACTGTGTCCTGACACTGACACCCGACTCTGAAATTCAAACCTTTGTTCAGTAACGGAAAGGTCAGGAAAAACTGCGCCTGGGTTTGTCTGACATAAAAGTCAGTGACATCACACGCCTTTCATCTGCCGGAAAAAATAAAGCGATATCTCCAGGTTGCTTGACAGTAACACTTAGCAGCAGCACTATTCTATTCTTGTTTCTTCCCCCCCCCGCCCCCCGCCGCCCGTCTACAACTGGCCCGAGTGACGTAAGTGATAGCCAACAACTTTATGAAGGCAATTAAAGTGGGAAAACCGGAGCTCCAAATAGACCACGCTGCAGCAACGCGTGTAAACCCACGCACTCTCCACTGCGGCCACACGTTTTCGACACTTTCCGACATTCAAGCTTGAAGCGCGGGAGGCGCGCTGGAGTCAAAACGCGACGACAGGAAGGGGAGTAGTGAAAAACTCTCACCGACTCCAGACTGCAAAGTCTGAACAGGGCCTAATAAGACTCGCAGCTGCTTTTTTTATGCCTTCCTGACCTCAAGGCCAGGTCACATGTCCCACAGGGGTCCTCCCCGTGTTCCAAGTTGTACAATTGAGCTCCTTAAGAGCAGCGGACAGTGCGTGTTATTTTGGCTGAGGCTTCCTGAAGACGCTGAAGATCCTCTCCGGGCTACTCAAGTGTCAGTCAAACCAGCACTTTCCATTGGCTGGGCCCTGCTCATACACAGCACTGCGCTCGAAGGCATTCCAATGATTTCATCTGATTTATTTCAGGCCACATTTGATATGTAGCTGCGGCAAAAGAAGCCATCACTACACTTACACTTCAGGTTGATGTATTCGTCCTGTTTACTTGTACTGTTTTTAAAATGGTGGGCCATGACCCAAACACTGGACAGATCCCGGAGGTTCCCCTTGTGACAAGAATAGCCCTGATTTCATGAATGAGGGTCCGGCAGGATGACGGACGCCATATTTCCGAGCGGGCTCCGGTGTGTGAAAAAGGACGTTTGTTTTGCTCCGAACTAAAAAGAAAAAACCGAAACCTGAGGAACCACTTTGACTTAATGCGTGTTTACATTAAGTTCAAACGTGGCTAATGCCTGGTAAACAAATAAAAGCCATTGGTAGACCGCATGTTTACTTGGAAAGCACTGGTGTTCTACAGTGGAGTGAGTGAGAGTCAGAGGGACAGCAGCAGCAGCAGCAGCAGCAGCAGCAGCAGCAAGTGTCATCTGGTCTTCTAACTTGGGGAGGGCTTTGGAGTTTAAAATGGTGTGAATATGATAGCCATCTGTAGCCACCAGTACAGCCTCTGCAAGCCGGGATCCGTCTGCCCCCATTGGAAGTTAAAAGTCCGGAGCACTAATCGGAACAAAGGACCGGTGTAAATCAACAACAGATCGAGCGCCGTGGATCTCTGAAAAATTATTTGGGTCCTGGAGGAGGAGAGGGGGGGGAGGGAGGGAGGGGAGGGGGGGGGGGGGAGGGGGAGACGACGCTGAAACTTCTCCTGAAATCTGGGGCGACTGCACGAGAAGGAGTGTCCGGAGGACGTGCAGGCGACAGAGGGAGACACCGAGGAGGTGAGTGACGGCTTTACCCACGGAAGGGGGGTAAAAAAAGATGACCGTGGTGTCCCAGGAGAACCAGGACGACACTGTGGTCCTAGGTCCCTCCGTACCTGATGCTGCAGACCTGGAAGCGGCGGAGCAGGAGTGCAGCGAGCGGGTGTTCATCAACATCTCAGGTCTGCGCTTTGAGACGCAGCTCAAGACCCTCTCTCGCTTCCCCGCCACACTTTTGGGAGACCCGCGTAAAAGGATGCGTTTCTTCGACCCGCTGAGAAACGAGTACTTCTTTGACAGGAACAGGCCGAGCTTTGACGCCATCCTGTATTATTACCAGTCAGGGGGCCGGCTCCGCAGACCCGTCAGCGTACCTGTGGATATTTTCCTGGAGGAGATTAAGTTTTACGAACTCGATGAAGACGCCGTGGACATGTTCCGAGAGGACGAGGGCTTGGCCAAGGAGGATGACCGTCCTCTGCCCACCAACGAGTACCAGCGCCAACTGTGGCTCCTGTTCGAGTATCCGGAAAGTTCAGGACCTGCGCGGAGTATCGCCATCGTGTCCGTCATGGTGATTTTGATATCCATTGTTATATTCTGTCTGGAGACGTTACCGGAGTTCAGAGAACTTCCGGCGGTCGTCAACGGGAGTTCCCACGCCAGAGAAACCAACCCGTTCACGGACCCCTTTTTCATGGTGGAGACTCTCTGCATCGTGTGGTTCAGCTTTGAATTCACCATGAGGTTTCTGTCGTGCCCCAGCAAGCCGGCGTTCTTCAAGAACATCATGAACATCATCGACGTCGTCGCCATCGCTCCTTATTTCATCACTCTGGGCATGGATCTGGCAGAGCACCAGGGCAGCAGTCAGCAGGCTGCGTCACTGGCCATCCTCAGGGTCATCCGTCTGGTACGTGTGTTCAGGATTTTTAAACTCTCCAGACACTCCAAGGGGCTCCAGATCCTGGGCCAAACGCTTCACGCAAGCCTGAGGGAGCTGGGTCTGCTCATCTTCTTCCTGCTCATCGGCGTGGTTTTATTCTCCAGCTCGGTGTACTTCGCCGAAGCGGAAGACCCGGACTCCGTCTTTTCCAGTATACCCGACGCCTTCTGGTGGGCAGTGGTGACCATGACCACTGTCGGCTATGGTGACATGTATCCCACCACCATTTGGGGGAAAGTTGTGGGATCGTTATGCGCCATCGCTGGAGTACTGACCATAGCCTTGCCGGTTCCTGTGATCGTGTCCAATTTTAACTATTTCTACCACCGAGAGAACGAGGAGGAGGACAATGTCCAGTATGTGCACGTGACGTGCGGTCATCCTCCACAAGTCTCCTTCGCAGAACGGGCGTCAAACAAAAGTGAACGGTCGCTCTGCAGCACGGAGTCCTACCATGACAACGGAGACCAGGACAGTCTGACTCATCCAAACATCAACCCGCTGGAGAATTACACGGGGAAGCTGACAGATGTATGAGGAGGGACGCAGCTTTCCTCCTATTCTTTTTTCCCGGTGAGTTTCCCCCCCCGCCCCCTTCTGCGGATGTTCAGCTGTTGACTTCAGGTGCAGCTTTCTGTACGCAGGCTGACGCAGAGGTCACCGGATTATTTATAGCCAATGCAACGAGGTAAATTACGCAATAGATCACGGTAACAAAGAAAACAAAAAAAAAAAAAAAAACAAAACGAGATGAAGTCCCTCAGTGTTTGTATTTACCAACTGACAATATAACGGTTTTAATAAATAGGAGCCGTGCGTCACTGCGCCCCCCCCCCCGTGACGCACAGGGCCTACACGTGCCCAGAGGCTCGGCGCGTGAGTGGAAGAATTCCTTGTACATGGAAGGACACAGTGTTGACAAACGAGTAAAATATATTTCATGGCACTGTCTCGTTGTTTAACTTTGGGGATTATATTGGCCTCGTGTTTGTGCGCCATGCGCGCGCTGTGGACAGCCGAGTGCAGCTGCTGCTCCAGAACTTTGGCACTTGTTCAGCGCGTCCCAGCATTGACTGGTGTCTTTGTGTGTACGTACCAAACGCGTGCAATAAAAAAAAAAAAGAAAAAAAAAGGGGGGACATCAATGACAGAGAAGATAGTTATTTTTTCTAGAATCAATCGTTTAAAAAAAAAAAAAAAAACTTGATTCCCTCAGACTTCATGGTTGTTCCGGTTCCGGTTGTTGTTTTTACGTTAATGGCAGCTCGTTTCGATCTAATACTTCGGTACACGTACACGGAGCAGCCACCACCGTGCTCCAGTAACATTGTGACGTTGTACTCCAGGCCTACAGTATGCGCCTGTGAATAAATGAACTCTGAGCGCCTCTCTGTGGATAACAACTCTCCCCGCCGGCCTGCAGAGACCGCTCGGAGAGTAAAGTGTGCAAAAACTCCAGGCTTGTCGGCTTTAATATGTCTTTGCACTAGCGTCACCTTTGGTCTCGGTGTGTGGCTAAAGTGTGGCTCGCTGACGTTGTGTATCCGTGTGAATTAGGAAGGAGCTCTGACAGCTTTCTTCCGCCTTCCCAGTGTCAAACTCGTGTTCTGTCTTTGTCTTTTCTTGCAGGAGCAGGTGATTTAAGAGGAGCTCGCTGCCCCCAACCCCCTCAGAGTTACAACTCATACAACAAAAACACATTACCCCCCGTTCCTCGTGGATTACTCTTGCATTTGCCAGTGATGTATAGCCTACAAAGACCTCACAGTGGAAACACTTGGAAAAGATTTATAGTTCCGGTGCGAGGGAACGTCGTGTGTGTGCACATCAACAGTAGAGCGGGAAAAAAAGAAAGAAATGACATTCTCAGAAGGCTCTGTAAATTACCATGCTTTTGTTTGTACATATGTCGCGTTTTGTTTTTTTTTTTGTTTTTTTTTGTAAATCTGAACTTTTGTTATGAAGCTAATAATGATAGACTGGAATGCAGCTCAGCTCCGGGCTGTAGCGATCCCTCAGACTTTCCCGCGGTTGAAAAGCATCACGGTGCCAACGTCTGCATGAGGTAAACTCGTTGTGAGTTGGTTTAAAATGTAATAAAAAAATATTTATTTTTCTAATTCAAACATGTATGTGAACTTAACTTAATCGTTGTCGTTTTTTTGTTTTTTTATAAATAAATTACGAACCCGGAAAACAAAACACCTCGAACTCGGTTTCATTACCATGACGTTATTTCAAAGTACAACGAAGACTCTCTTAGAATGCAAATAGCACACGGGGTTTCAATCTGTGCCCATTAATTACTTAAATACACTTGCCTAAATTGCTCTGCTGGCGCTCAGTGGTGACGCTAAAGGCTCGGAGTGTTGTTTTGCCACATAAGCAATTAGGTTAATAAAACACCCTGTTGACAAAGAGCGGACTTGACCAGACCTGACAGTCAGTGAAGAGTCGCTGTGAATCAGACATGTTTCTTAACTTTATCAACAACAACAACAACCGTAGTCCTGAAATCTTTTTTTTTTTTTTTTTGCTGTATCCTGTGCTGTCCGTGGTGCTGAAGGACATACTTTCGGCGGAGGTTCTTTAAAATCATATTCACTGAAAATGGTTAATCTGTTCATACATTAATGAACTCTCTTTCGCTCAATACCGCCGAGGGTCTCTTGGGTACCGGAAGTCAGTCCCTGGTCGCCAGTCAATCACGGAGCCACATATAAAGAAATGCAACATTTCCCTTGCAGTCAAAACGCACAAACTGACTTTATTGCAAAGCCGAATGTTAAGGGGTTGTCCAGAGAAATTCTACCCATACACTCGGAGAATATTCACACGGGACACAAACCGATGACCTTCTTGCCGAGAGGCGGTGGCGCTGACCACTGAGGCTCCTAAGTTGGGGGATAATTCAGATTCAAAAGTTCCAGTCCATCAATATACATATTCAGATTCGGATAAATCCACGGTTACCCTTTAAGTTAAGGTCACGTCGAGTACCGTTGTTGGTTTATTTGTCTGTAAAAGATAGTTGTGGGTTTTATGTGTTAATGATCGGGTGCTTATATGTCAGCATTTTTAGCATAAAAAAAAAACACATCAGTCCCTAACACATCATTTAAACGCCCCCTCAGATTCAGGAGCGACCAGTGAATCCACACTGATGAGCAGAGATAAATCGCCTCAGATGTTACACGGTCCTGACAGAGACTTGTGTTTTTCCTCCTCCTCCCCCCCCAACCCCCCCCCAAACCAACTCTCCTTCTTTGCAGTCTAATTGCGCCAGTGCTGGCACAGGAGCGCTCCTGTTTTCGTGCTGTACGGAGAACTTCTGCCGGCGTGTTTCTAGAGCCGGTCTGCATTGCGTCGAAACCCTCCAACTCCTCCTCCTCCTCCGCCCCCTCCTCCTCCTCCTCCTACTGCTGCCTCCCCTCCCCTCCCCTCTCCTCTCCCCCTCTCTCTCCATCCCTCGCCACCCCACGCACTTGCATGTTTAAACGCACAACAAGACATGCCTGACATGGCTGGGAAAACACTCGGACGCCGCAGCCTGACTCGACTCCGCACTGCACGCCGTCCGTTTCAGTCCGATCACTTCCACTCCGTCCCTCTGAGCTGCGCTCACAACACAAACACAACGTCCCGCCCATCATCCTGCTGTCTGCTCGCGAACGGCAGCGGAATTCTGCTGATGCAGTGATGTCTGGAAATGTCAAGGGCTCGCTTGTTGCCCCCCATAATGTATCTCCCCCCCTTGAACTGCTGCGCAAGATTTGATCCTGCGGTAAAGCCTGTACTGTAAGCGCTTCACACCGCCGGGGCAACGACGGACGCTGCAGCTTTGCAACCTTCTCCTTCTCTCTGTTCTACCTCAGGCATTCCTCTCCACACCAACCCGACTGCTGCTGCTCCTGTGTGCGTTTATCACATTTCTCAAATTATTTTTTTTTTTTGTGTGTGCGGGATACTCCAACGGACCCAGACTGACGATGCGCACAGTGACACTCTAGATTTTCTTTTTTCTTTCTCTTTGGAGGGTGCAATGTGAAGTTGCGACTTGACACCCGCCGCTGCCCTGTTGTTGGATGAATTTACCCGTAGTTGAAACACATTCAAGACCCTTCAGCATCAAGCCAAGGTAAGCCCCGAGAGAAACTGCTGCTCTGCAACGGAAACAGGGGGGAATAGGTGGCGATGAACAGCCGCTCCTTGTATAAATAAAACATCCTGTGCGCGCTGTTCACGCTGGAGATCTGCATTGATGGACTGCTGCATGCTGACATCGGTTGTTATGTCATTATCATGTCATAGTTAGTTGTTGTATCTCAGACTCTAGAGGTTCCATTTATTCATACAACGCTTTAACACGGGGGCACACTTTAATTCCGGTGCAAACTAAGGTTTAAAAACATGTCAACTGTACATCGGGAGGCAAATGAGCAAAACGCAATAAAGTGCAAAAAAAAAAAAAAAACTAAAGTAAAAAAAAAAAAAGACTAAAATTCCCGAAGAAAATAGAAATCGCAGCTTCCGCTGCTGTTCTGATATTGACTTTTTACTTTTACTGCACGAGGTAAATGGATTTATAAACTGCAAAAAAAAAAAAAAAAAAAAAATGCTGAGTCCGCAAATAGTTTCATTCCATTATTTCCTCCCTCTCCCTCTCTCCCCCTCCCCCCCCGCCCCCCCTTCGCTCTTTCGCCCTATCTCTCAGCAGCAACAACAGCAGCAGATGCGCCGGAGAGCAGCAATGGTCAAGTCAGCGAGAACCGCAGTGGAGCCGCACTGAGGCAGCGCAGCCAACCAGCCTCCTCACATCTGGGGACGTCTCCAACAGTTTCAGGGGTGTGGGATGCTGAGGAGTGGAAAATTCCCCCCAAAATCCAAATGCCTGCTTAGTCAGTTAGTCAGACTAGCACAACTTCTCCTCCCTCTTCTCCTTCACCTCCAACTCCTCCTCCTCCTCCTCCTCCTCCTCCTCCTCTTTCCGAAAATGACCGTGGTAGCAGGTGATAACATGGACGAGACCTCGGCAGTCCCGGGACACCCTCAGGACACCTACCCTCCGGACCACAACGACCACGAATGCTGCGAGCGGGTGGTCATCAACATAGCTGGTCTGAGGTTTGAAACCCAGCTGAAAACTCTCTCCCAGTTCCCAGAGACGTTGCTAGGCAACCCCAAAAAGAGAATGCGGTACTTTGACCCACTGAGAAACGAGTACTTCTTTGACAGGAACCGCCCCAGCTTCGATGCCATCCTCTACTACTACCAGTCGGGCGGTCGGCTGAGGAGACCAGTGAATGTCCCTTTGGATATGTTCTCTGAAGAGATCAAATTCTACGAGCTTGGGGTAGACGCCATGGAGAAGTTCCGCGAGGACGAGGGTTTCATCCGAGAGGAGGAGCGCCCTCTGCCTGACAAGGAGTTCCAGCGGCAGATCTGGCTCCTCTTCGAGCACCCGGAGAGCTCGGGCACAGCCAGGGGAATCGCCATAGTGTCCGTGATGGTGATCTTGATTTCCATCGTCATATTTTGTTTAGAAACTCTGCCGCAGCTCAAAGACGACGGCACCAGTCGGGTCGTGGGGAACTCCACCATTTACTACAAGCCAAATATCCTCACCGACCCCTTCTTCATCATCGAGACACTCTGTATAATCTGGTTCTCCTTCGAGTTGATTGTACGCTTCCTGGCATGTCCGAGCAAACCGGCCTTCTTCAAGAACATGATGAACACCATCGACATCGTGGCCATCATCCCTTACTTCATCACCCTGGGCACCGAGCTGGCAGAGGACGAGGACGAGACCGAGGGCGTCGGGGAGCAGGCGACATCGCTGGCCATACTCAGGGTTATCCGCTTGGTCAGGGTATTTCGGATCTTCAAGCTGTCGCGTCACTCCAAAGGACTTCAGATTCTGGGGCAGACCCTGAAGGCCAGCATGAGGGAGCTGGGATTGCTCATCTTCTTCCTGTTCATCGGAGTCATCTTGTTCTCCAGCGCCGTGTTCTTTGCCGAGGCCGAGGAGGAGGGCTCCCAGTTCGGCAGCATCCCAGACGCGTTCTGGTGGGCTGTTGTGTCTATGACAACTGTGGGCTATGGAGACATGGTCCCAATCACAATCGGAGGTAAGATCGTAGGATCACTGTGCGCCATTGCTGGTGTGCTGACAATTGCCCTCCCAGTGCCAGTCATTGTGTCCAACTTCAACTACTTCTACCACAGGGAGACTGAGGGAGAAGAGCAGGCCCAGCTGCTGAACGTCAGCAACCCCCCCTCCGAAACCAACTCCAGCCGCCGCAGCCCGCCCTCCACATGGACGAGACCTCGGCAGTCCCGGGACACCCTCAGGACACCTACCCTCCGGACCACAACGACCACGAATGCTGCGAGCGGGTGGTCATCAACATAGCTGGTCTGAGGTTTGAAACCCAGCTGAAAACTCTCTCCCAGTTCCCAGAGACGTTGCTAGGCAACCCCAAAAAGAGAATGCGGTACTTTGACCCACTGAGAAACGAGTACTTCTTTGACAGGAACCGCCCCAGCTTCGATGCCATCCTCTACTACTACCAGTCGGGCGGTCGGCTGAGGAGACCAGTGAATGTCCCTTTGGATATGTTCTCTGAAGAGATCAAATTCTACGAGCTTGGGGTAGACGCCATGGAGAAGTTCCGCGAGGACGAGGGTTTCATCCGAGAGGAGGAGCGCCCTCTGCCTGACAAGGAGTTCCAGCGGCAGATCTGGCTCCTCTTCGAGCACCCGGAGAGCTCGGGCACAGCCAGGGGAATCGCCATAGTGTCCGTGATGGTGATCTTGATTTCCATCGTCATATTTTGTTTAGAAACTTTGCCGCAGCTCAAAGACGACGGCACCAGTCGGGTCGTGGGGAACTCCACCATTTACTACAAGCCAAATATCCTCACCGACCCCTTCTTCATCATCGAGACACTCTGTATAATCTGGTTCTCCTTCGAGTTGATTGTACGCTTCCTGGCATGTCCGAGCAAACCGGCCTTCTTCAAGAACATGATGAACACCATCGACATCGTGGCCATCATCCCTTACTTCATCACCCTGGGCACCGAGCTGGCAGAGGACGAGGACGAGACCGAGGGCGTCGGGGAGCAGGCGACATCGCTGGCCATACTCAGGGTTATCCGCTTGGTCAGGGTATTTCGGATCTTCAAGCTGTCGCGTCACTCCAAAGGACTTCAGATTCTGGGGCAGACCCTGAAGGCCAGCATGAGGGAGCTGGGATTGCTCATCTTCTTCCTGTTCATCGGAGTCATCTTGTTCTCCAGCGCCGTGTTCTTTGCCGAGGCCGAGGAGGAGGGCTCCCAGTTCGGCAGCATCCCAGACGCGTTCTGGTGGGCTGTTGTGTCTATGACAACTGTGGGCTATGGAGACATGGTCCCAATCACAATCGGAGGTAAGATCGTAGGATCACTGTGCGCCATTGCTGGTGTGCTGACAATTGCCCTCCCAGTGCCAGTCATTGTGTCCAACTTCAACTACTTCTACCACAGGGAGACTGAGGGAGAAGAGCAGGCCCAGCTGCTGAACGTCAGCAACCCCCCCTCCGAAACCAACTCCAGCCGCCGCAGCTCGTCCTCCATCAGCAAGTCAGAGTACATGGAGATTGATGGGGACATAAACAATAGCATCGATAACTTTAGGGAGGCCAACCTCAGAACTGGTAATTGCACTATAGCCAACCAAAACTGTGTAAATAAAAGCAAGCTGCTCACAGACGTCTAGACGACCGGACATCGGACCTTCGGGATCTCGGAGAGGGGACCGTCGCGTGGAGTAGTGGACCATTGATTAGGAATGCTTCATTTACTTCCTCAAAGCGCTATACGGCTTTAGGCCTCAAAGTATGCTCAGCTAATATAGAAAGGATACAGAAAAAAAAAAACAACACAAAAACAAACAAACAAAAAAGTTGTCCAGAGTCTACAGCAGGTAGTTAGAATAATTAATTCTTCAAAGTCTATACCTATTTAGATATATCCAAAAGGAACTACTGAACTACTACTCATTGACTACACGGCTCCCCCCGCGGGGAGGACGCGGAGCACGCGCTGTCTGTCTCGTCGACAAACAAGCTCATTGACAGGACGCGGAGCACACGCTGTCTGTCTCGTCGACAAACAAGCGTGACAACTCATCAAAAAAAAAACAAAAAACAACCTTGCATGGAGTACAGTTCGACGTTTCAGCAAGTTGCACAACGCACCCGGAAACGTCTGCAGAGACATGCAAGCATCGCAGTCAAGCGGTAAGCACCAAGAAGTTGAAAGTGAAACCACCCTTTTTCTCCCCTCCGAAGGATCCATTATTCAGCAAAGCACCTTATAGGAGGAGGACCGATCTCTCTCCCTCCCTCTCTCTGTATCTCTCTCCCTCTCTCTCTCATTTGGATGTAAACAGATGTTGATCTGCTCGCTTCACGGACATCCGCAATGCTGCTGTTTTTCCGGCAGCTGCCGTAATTGTGATATCACCGAGTGATTCGACGCCATGCCCTTTAGACGCAACACAGCACAACGACGGAGTGAGCTTCACACGAGCATGGTTCCGGACTTTTCCCATTTTGATATCGGCATGCATGAGACACATCTCTCGCGCGCAGGGAAATGGAAAGGCTGTTCGTTTGGAACACCTGCCTCTGCCATCTGACCCGTCTCATCTCTTTTCATACTGAGTGCACTGGATCAGTTTTTTTTTTTTAATTTGAAAAAAAAAACAAAAAACACAAAAACAAAAATGCTACTCATTTTAGAAGTATAGAATGTTGAATCTTTAAGGGAACAGTACATTAAATGAGATCATAGCATGAAAAGAGTAACCTGCATTACGGTCTATCGACTTAGGTACTTTTGTAACCCTGGTATATTTAATGCATGACATGAGTATACAGCTTGCAGTTGCAATTCCGGGGACACTCATCTTGCAGTGTCTTTCCGTCAGGGAAAAGTGAGGGGGAAAATCAAATTCTGGATGTTTCTGAAATTGTGGATTCACATATATTCCGATCCAACTTGAGATGCAGAGTTTGGAATTAAGGGTAGACAAGAGTAAACGGAAATAATTATTATCAGAAATGCATATAATCATTGTAAGCACCGATTACAGTATTACATCAATAGAGCAGTGCATGGACATTCTATGAAGATAAATTATTTGTCACGCTTCCACCGCCATGTCCAATTTCAATACTTCTTCTTTTAGTCCAAAAAAAAAAAAAAAAATTTTTGAACCAAATTCCCCATCATATGACTGAGAGTTTTTTTTTCCCTGACATTATTTGCTAGTGCCTTTATCCCCTTCGTCACCAACAGGACCAGTGAAAGTGCCTCTGTGTACGATGGTATTTTGCGAGGTGGAGAGGAGCTGGTTAGACTCCCGTTTTTTAAAGTCATTTGACCAGTTAACAGCAGTTGGTAGGAGAGAGAAAAAATCAACACGCATATACTGAAGTGAAATAAAACCCCCCCCTGATCCATGGCTGTCTTGCACAACCCACTCCTCATGCACTTAACCATACCCTTACGCAACAACCAGGAATGTTTTTTTTTTTTTGCTCTCTGCATCGTTACAAATGCCAATCATCAAGGGAACACGCGTCTGTTTTCAGCAGGTCTCATCTGTGTCTTCAGTTCGTCCCCCTCTCCCCCGACCCCCCGTCCGTCCGTGCGCCGTGCATCCCTTCAGGGTCTCTACCTCAGTGAGGTCATTGCAAACAAAAAAAAAAAAAAAACTTGCTGCAGAGCTACAAGCGCCAATGCAGGGCTTCCTACACCATAATGCAAAATGGAACCTTAAGTGTAAACAGCAGTCATGCAATATTGAATGTGAGCGTCCCAAAAGCATGTAGAGCCTTTACACAAGCACTTAGGACAAATAATGTATCCTGACTCCTGCTTCTTTTGTTCACTTAAAGCTACGCACAATCAGAATGTTCATGTACAGATAGATGCCGTCCGGGGGGGGGAGACTGCGTGCCTCCGCCGGACAGGACGAGGTTGACTGTTTTGTAATGTTTTGTTTTGTTTTTTTTTTTTCTTTTCTTTGTGTAAAAGGATGCTGCTAGTGTCACAGATGTGTGTCAACGTGGGTTTCCACTGGTGTGTAGGAGAGAACGGATAAAAAAAGTGTAATAATATGGTTAATTTTTGAGTTTTTTTTTTTGTTTTTTTAACTTTTGTCGTACTGCAATCCAAAGCGCAGCTGGACCTTTTGCACAATCATTTTGGTCGTTTTTGCTGATGTTAGTTTCTGCCCTTGTGTCTGTGTGTATTCTTTTTCTCTCGCTTGAATTAATCTCGGTTGTACAGATCGCATAAGTCTCTCAGCGAGCCGTCCTTTTACAGGAGCGGACGGAATTGTTCAAACTGCTTGAAAGTTTCCAGAAATGGTCGTGACTATTTTTTTTTTTTTTTTCAATTAGGCAATAGCATTTCGTATATTTAAAGTTTTATTATTTTATTTTTCATAAGGGCCCGGAAAAAAAAAATTTCTGTGCTGCAGCGCCACCTGAGTGTCCTAGTTTGATTTTTTTTTTTTTTTTTTCCATCTTGTCCAGTCGCTGTCCTCTGTGGTGCTAATACAGGACTACATGGTTTTTCTTGTCGCCATCACATGTTAACTGTGACTTGATGTTATGATTTTTTTTCTTTTTTTTTTTTTTTTTTTTTTTAGAACGTTCCTACCTGACACTCATTGTTAACACTCGGTTAGTTTTAGAAGCTGTTTGCCATTTTTTGGGAAACAATCCTTGTACTGTATTGCTGAAGGGTGTCTGCTTCAGGTGAGGAAAAATACTCAAGAGCCTTGGTGGATGTCAGTGACAAGCAAAAAAAAAAAAAATTGAGGTTTCTCAAAAAAAAATGCAGCTATCAGAAAGGTCATTGTGGTTTTAAGTGTCCGGAGGGAACGATGCTTAAAACGTGAAACGTGTCCTGCATGTCACGGCGCGACGCGATGTGAAGACATCACTCTTCACGTCGGCGGCGCTGTTGCTTCTTTCACGCTCTGACGGCAGGTGTGGACGGTGCTATGCATTCAGATACCCAAGAGAAACATGCACTTTTAACAGCAATAGAATTATCCTGTTTCTGGAGGCTATTTTGTACCAAAAAAAAAAGAAAAGAAATAACAGAAATAAAGAAAATAAATCTACTTTGAATGTCAAACGAACTGTGATCACTCCCTAGATACAACAGGGCTGTTTAGGTACCAACGTTTTGCTCAGTGATATTTTGTGAGCTGGGAATTTAACCCCAACGCTAGACCGACGTTAGGTGAAGAGAATCTTCAAATATATTAATCTCAAAATATGAAATATCGAAAAATGTAAGCTTTATAATAGTGGCAGTTCCCATTAACCATGCAGGTCAGAAGTGAGTCGTTTCGCAGTTAGGAACAAAGGCCGAACCTTAGAACACGGTCCCCAAAAGGAGACGTCCTTAATGCACTTGGAGAGAACGTCTCCTCAGAGAGAGAGAGTCGTGGAAGTCGCTTCCATCATTTTCACATCTTCATTTCTTTCAGCTCTCTGTGTGCGAGTAATCTTAGGCAGAAGATCTTTAGAAATAGACATTAATGTAGAAAAAAAAACAAACAAACCATGAACAGCGTAGCTACGATAAGGTAAACGAAAATAACCAGTATGTTATTCAATTACATAGGAAAACCAATTTAATTTTTTTTTTTTTTTTTTTTTTTTTTGGACAAGAACGTGTCGTTGGTTATGAACCGACTGTGTTGTGTATCCAATCTGACAAAGGACGTGGACAATAATTTGACGGTTGCTAAAAAAAAACACATTTCTCTCTATTCATTTTTTTTTTTTTTTTTTGGAAAACGCGACCAAAATTGGATTCACTCTCACTCCGTGCTCCCATTTCTTTAAAGCTCCGCCGCTGAACCTCCTGTTTTAATGTATCTCTGCGGAAAAATTTACTGATTGCATCGAATAGAAAAAAAAAAAAAAAAAATCAAACTGCATGGTCAACGGAAGACTGCATGAGCTCTGCCTTTCAAACTGTGGATCAACTATAACGCAATTACCTAAAATTTGAAAGAAAAAAACAAAAACACAACCCTTGCTTTCACCCGCACCAAAGCTTGTAAAGGGCGCCCCCTCTGTTCAGAAGTTGCCATGAAACACTTGGCATTCTTAAACGCACCTTAGAACTGACCTCACTTCTAAGACGACGCCGGTTATCCGAGGCGTACCCGGCGCGTGCGGACGTACAGGGAACAACAAGGTACAACGCTAGTCTCTCAAAGTCTCTCGTCTCTATTCTGTGACCGAAGCGCTCACTCACATTCGGCCCCTGTTTTGTGTTTTAATGTGTGATGGCCAAGGTCGTCTACTCTGTCGGGAACGCACATTCAATTGCCGGTATGGACGCTTTGGAAAAAACAAAAACAAAAAAAAACTGCAAAAAGGGACCGTCGATCTCTTGTGCTACTCTTTTCATACACAAGCAAACCAAACTCTGATTGTCTCTGATTTTACTCATCATTCGTCATGTTCTGTTCAACGAGGATTATGCTACAATGTGTTCATATTGTCTGATGACGATAAAGGCATGGTCTGTGATCTATGCAAGGGTTCTTTTTATTTTCCTATAATCACTCTTGGTTTTACCTTTCATTTACTTCAATAAATTTTTAAGGATCCGCTGGTGTACGCTCATTTCGACTGGGGACTTGGGGGGCGGGGGGGTACCGTCTCGTGTTTGTGTGTCGACACCGACATAGAGAGACTTCAGGTCTGGGTCTGAAACTTGACTGGCTTCGGTGTGCTAGCCTCTCACCTATCAAGCTATTAGCAGTGATTCATGAGGCTAAAGTAATGGTTCCACACTAATCCTCCGTCCCGGGAGACAGTCACTTACCCCTGTCTTTCCCAATGACTCGTTCCGCACCTTAGAGGGCCGGAATGTTTTAAATCTCCTTAGCAGCCCTCTATGTCTCATCTCAGGACAAGCGAGACAGCGTTACCGTGATTGGATGAAACCAATAGCTGCTCAGAGGGTTCTATGGAAACGCGATGTGAATATTTTTGTTTCCTTTTCTACGATGACTTCATTCCTGTG